GGGACAGAGAGAGCCCAGAGGAACTGGCCAACAAGAACCTCATGAAATTTAGCAAGGGCAAATGTAAATTCTTGCACCCAGGAAGGAAGAATCCCTTGCAAGGCTATAGGCTTGGGACTAATGGGCTGGGGAGCAGCACTAAAAGGATCTGGGGGACATGTTAGATAGCAAGCTGAATGTGAGCCAGCCATGTGCTATGGCAGCAAAGCAGCCTAAAAGCATCTTGGCCTGTATTAACAGAAGTACAGTTAGGAGATTGAAGAACGTGATTATCCCCCTCTGCTTAGCACTCATTAGATTACGTCTAGATACCATGGCCGGTTTCCCTCCTGCCCTCCATCATTCTAACAAGAAATGTTGAACAACTGGAGTGATTGCAGCAGAGGATCACCAAGATGGTCAGGAGCTGGAGCATTAGCCCTGCAAGAAGAGGCTGAGATAGCTGGGCTTATTCTTGCTGGAGAAGAGGTAGCCTCAGGAGATTGACCAGGAGCCCTTGAGTGCCTGCAAGTGATGAAGATGTAGCTAGGCTTTTCACAGTAGTGCATGGTAGGAGGATGAAAAGCAATAGACTTAAACTGAAGCAAGAGAGATTCCATCAGTTTTCCCCATGAACAGATTGCCCAGAGAAGCTGTTCAGTCTCCATCCTTGGAGGATGTCAGAATTGACTGGATAAAGCCCTGAGCAACCTGGTCTAATCTCACAGCCAACCCTACTTTGAGCAGAAGGTTGGACTAGAGGCCTCTCCTAAAATCCCTTATGATCTGAGTAGTTCTGTGATTCTATATGTTCAACAGAAGGTAGATTTTTCCACTTGAACTATGGCACTTCAGCACTGCATTAACAGAGGTTTAAGTGTGGTAATTTCTTGCATCACATGATGCAACAGCCTCTTCAGAGGGTAACCAGGAGTATGTCAGCCCCTAAGCGAGAGAATGAACTTTTGACAAGTAGAACAAGTGAGTGATATATGACAGAAGCACCAAGGAACATGATCCATGAGACGAAGAAAGTTTCATGCAAACATGAAGATCAAAACAGTGAGTCCCAATTGACTCACAGAGTAGGGGGGAAGCATACTTAATTAAGTCAGAATAAAATAATCTTCTCAAGAACAATAGAAAAAATTATATAGCACTATTGAAACAACTTTTGCTCTCTTGTGTGTTGTTTAGTTAGTTCTTACGCAGTCATCAGGAAAAACATTACCTGAATATCTGAAGAGAATGGGGCTGGTTTAAATGTCATGGAGCAATGTGATCGAGAAAGTAATAGAGGAGGAGGAGGAATCCTGCTTTTTTTCTTGCTGCTCATAGCTTCTTTGAGACTGTGATACAATGCACTTTGTTCAGTTTCAACTTGCTCAATTAAAGTTAGTGCTTCCTATGATTTAAATTAAAACAAAAGGTAACAACTATTAAAACATAACAATCAGACAGATTTAACACCTATAAATGATTTTCAAAATTATCTTACAAAAATTCATTGCTATATAGAAAACTTTTATACATTTTCATACCATCTTACATCCTAAATTAGGATGAACGGTAGTTTATGTAAGCCTTACATATGCCAATTAATTTCAAAATGTACAATAAAGAGAATACAGGATTGCATATGAAAGAGAAGGGCTGAGGCATATCCAGTTTTGGAAGAACCGATAGGAAAAAAGAGTGAACACAAATAATGTTGATTAGCATTTAGTGTCAACCAGTGATTAGCTCCAACAAGAAACAAAAAAGATATCTACTCTTATTTAGGAGAGTGATGGAGACCTAATCTGTGGAATTTCTGAAGGAGCTGTATAAGTGGTCAAACTGATTTTCTGTACTCCAGAAATAGAGCAAAGAAATAAAGTCCAGAAATAAAGAAAAGGGAGGAGAATGCAGGCACAGAAAAAGTAGGGCTAAGCTACTTCACTTGGTTAGCTGGAGAGAGCTGAGAGCTGACTGACAGTCTATTAGTGTCTTCCAAAAACGTGGGGGCCTCCTGCACACAGTGATTATGTGTCCATTTGGATGGAGATCTGGGTAGATTTTTTTCTTACTGGACTGAGTGGCAAATTGGTAGGTTTCTTCACCTTGTCTGCATTGTCAGGATAAGAGAAACCTAACCTGGAAATCTAATATTAAGAACTTAGTACTTTTATATCTTTACTTGTGTCAGCTGTCCAGTGCAAATCAAAGACAAAAAGGCCAGCTCACAGAGACAAAGAGATTGGGGATGCCTTGGACAAATTACATTCTGTTGGGGGAAGAGAGATGACATATTCCTACAACTAGGGCTTTTATTTGAAGCCTTTTAGTACCATTCACTGGATCAAGGATTTAGGCTGAAATGAGTCTGAAAGATAAACTGAAAACGAAAATCCCAAGTTGTAGGCTATTCGGTGACAGTCCTATAATCTTGCACCTTCACAATTCCTTGTTTCTGACCTCATACTTTTATAAGGCTGTGAGCACAATCATACGGCGTCGGATCACAGATTGAATAAGCCTTGTATCTCACGTCTGAACATGACGAAAAACTAGCCATAGATTTATAGTGAAATTGGGAGCTAAGATTTAATAGATCCTGAGTCACATCACATAGCTAATCATTTGCACAGCCCCTCATTTCATCCCATGCCCCCCCCCCC